CAATTTAAGATAAAAGCACAGTTAGCAAGAAGCCTGCCACGGCCATACAGTTTGAAAGCAATATAAGTGTCTGTGTTTACTTGGTTGGGTCTGAGCGGCTGTGGGACTGGCGGGTGACAGAGATTTGTCCTGACTGTGGGCAAGGCGAAAAAATCAAGCTACATAAACCTGCTGAGTTTATTCAATTCTGTCATAATATACATGATTCTATGACTGATCACTCAGTACTAGAAAACCAATCACAGGGCTTATTCCTGAGAAACACTAATTCTCCATCTTTTACTTACTTATAGTACTTCATCTGGGGGTGGAAACCACATAAGATTTCCCCAGTCTGTGTTCACGTGTTAACTGTTGTTGAGATTTCTACATGTTGTTGAGATTTTATGGGTTTAAAGGCATACAATCTCACAGCAGACTTCTAATTTTCTTGCTCTAATAATCTTTAATAGATTTCTGTACTCGCTCTATTTTAAGTTGGTGACTTTGAAGCTTTTAGTCACCTATGCTATGAGAAATTAACAATACACTTTCATAATCACAAAATTAGGTAAATAGAGAAGGATATTAAAGAAACAATTCATTCCTTTTAGCTGTCATAAGGAAACACAACCTTAGAAGACATATTCAGTCCTTACCATCAAGATCCTCAGAGAAGATTACTGATTTTCCTTAAGTTATATCCAAATGTTCAGGACAAAAGAGAAAATACTCTTAAAGTCTCGGTTTCAAGATAAACAGTGGCTGGCTTGGAAACCCCACAAGTAAAATTCTACTTAAATCTCATTGGCCAGAACAGTGTGACATCATATAACCTGTCACAAAAGGGTTCTGAAGAATGTAGTTTCCCCCATCAAAGAACTTTATAACTACTTCTTGAAATTAAGGATCTATTAATAAGGAATACATTTATATACACGCAAAAATTATGAAGTATACTATAACAACTGTGGTGGTTTGAATGAGAATGGCCCCCAAAGGATCATATATTTGGGTACATGGTTGCTAGCTGGTGGAATTGTTTGGGAAGGACAAGGAGGTATGACATTTTTGGAAGAGGTCCATCAGTGTGGGTAATCTTTGGGGTTTAAAATGCCTGCACAATCCCAGTTTCCTCTCTCTGCCTCATTTTTGCTTATGGGTCAAGATGTAAGATCTAGTTAATGCTCCAGTGTCATGTGTGCTTGATATCATGCGCCCTGCCATGATGGTCATAGACTCTAAAACATCGAAACTGTAAGCCTTAACTCTTTTCTCTATGAGTTGCCTTGGTCATTGAGCCTTATCGCAGCAATGGGGAAGTAAATAAGACAATAACAAATAACAAAATAATTTATGAGAAAGGTTCATATATTTAGAGGTTCAATTTTGTTGTCAATTATCCTTGTGGTTTGAGGCCTATGGAGACATAGTTTGTTATGCTGGGGAGCTATGTCATATCAAGTGCTTATGTCATGGGTAGTAAATAGGAAAGGAAGAGGAAAGCACTAGGGTTTCATGATCCCTTTTCAATGAAACTCTCTAGTGTCCTGAAATGTTCCATTAGATCTTACCTGTTCAACTTTCCACCACATCCTAATATCATAAAGCTGGGGACTAAGCCTTTAGGACCTGGATCACTGAACATTTAAAATCCAAATTATAACAAGATTTTAGCCAATGGAAAATATCACTTCATAGTAAAATAATGTTTTATCAGCACGTTAGAAAAGAAAAGTTTTCCTGTCTTGATTCATGGGTATCTTTTGAATTATTTTGGTACTTTCTGGTCTGTCTCCATATGGCTCATATACTAGACTGCATAAGGGAAGAAATAGGTTGTCCTTGATTAAATTAGCCAAACACTATGAATCCCTGTAGGCAGATTTTTCTGTCTTATCTACCAGTTCTCAAACTACATGGAGACTTCTTATTAATTATAAAAGCTTGGTGATGGCTTAGGCTTATTTATAACTAGCTCCTATAACTTAAATTAACTTATATTTTTATTCATCCAAGTTCTATCATGTGGCTTTTACCTCTGTCATTTTGTGTGTTCGCCTTGTTCTGTGTCTGCCTGGCTTCTCCACCTTCTTATTCCCAGCATACCGTGTACCTGAAAATATCATATCATTTTATATCTCCCCGTTTTTTAGAATGAGATAACTGGATCTAATCTCCTTTGTTCCCCTTTTTTCTTGACCATTGCCAATAACAACTTGTAACCAGCCCTTCTAAACAATGATAGACATGTACAACCTACTGAATGAACAAAACCTATCCACCATATCTCTTGGAAATGTGGAAGTTGTGTTCTCTAGACTGCTTCCTGTTGTCTGTGGGTTCTTGAATCTTTGAGGGGACCCTGAGAAAATTAGGATAATGGTCAAATCCTTGCTAGAATGCTCTGGGAGGCTGGACAATCTCAGCCAGAAGCCTTGAAGCTGTCCTGGATGCAGACCTCTCAGGAAACTACAACAGAGGCATTCTGAGAGCCTGGATAATCTGGGCTACCTGTTTTCATTGGTATCTGGTCTCCTTGTTCTGAAAACACAAAACATGCAAAGGTAATATATCTCTGTATTAACACACGTATGTAATGTGCAGTGTGTACAAGTCAGTTAGAGATGATTTTTTTGTTTTATGTTTGGGCAGGTAAAAGTCTTCTGTCAACTTTAAAAGTCTGTTTGGACTGTTTAATCAAACTATAATATAAATCTATATCTATGCCATATGAAAGGGTGTCATGTAATAATAAGTCATGAGTTCTTTGTAGCTAACAAGATTTATCATGTCTTATCACAACTCAAAGCTCTTCTCATGTCAAGTGATCAGCTTACATATCACCTGTCCTGTAGTCTTTTTTGGCTTCCTCCCCATGTCTGTAGCCAAGATACTCAGGAAGTATCCCTTGTTCAAATCTGATCTACACTAATCTGGAATGAATACATACCTTTCATTTCCTGTGTAAGCAAAAGAACAATCTCTTTTGCAATGCAACATATTTTTGACTTTCATTTTTTAAGTTAGGACATTTAAAAAATACATAGGTTGGTTTAATTTACCAATTTCCATAATCCAATCTCTCTCAGCAGCTACCATCTGTTCATAAGCAATCAGAAAATTCAAAGACAATAACTATAACATACAGGATGCAGACTCCCTACATATTTCCCATCTCTACATAGCTTATTCTTTTTTATTATTTCTAAACTATTTACTTTTTTCTGTGACTACCTATATCCATTTTCTTTTCTTTTTTAAGATTGCACATTTTCAAACACACTGTAACCTATTTAGAGTATTATTTCCATATGAACCTCCTTCACTGCATATCTGTAACCATTTCAGTCAGCATGAGCAAAACCTTAAACCTGCCACATGGCTTAGCTCACACAACAATGATGGTGCAAGCATGCAGGCAGCTGCCTGGAGATGTGTCTCTGTAGGTCACCCACATGAGACACATTAGACTAGGAAGCCATGTTTTTCTCTGTTTTTATGTGTTTAGAACCATTCTTAAGCTTTCCCAGGTCTTATTTGGATATACATAGCTGGACATTGGGCACAATTTATAGGAAGATTTTTCTGTCCTGCCTGCCAGCTCCCAAATAGCCACAGGGAGACTTATTAATTATAAAAGCTTGTCCAATAGCTTAGATTTACTTATAACTAGTTCTTATAACTTAAATTAACTCATATTTTTATTAATCTAGGTTCTATCATGTAGCTTTTACCTCTATCTCATTTTGTGTGTCTGACTCATTCTGTGTCTGGTTGGCTTCTCCACCTTCTTCTTTCCAACGTCTTCTGTGCCTGAAAATCCTGCCTAGCTATTAGCCATTCAGCTTTTTTAATAAATCAATCAGAATGACACATTTTCACGGTGTACAAAAAGATTATTCCACAAGAAATCCCAGTGAAAGGAATCATTAAATTGTCAGATAATAGTAAATATTAGTGGAAATATTCATGTTTGCCACTAGGAAATGAAACAAATTTCAAGGAAGAACCATAGGGAAAGAATATTTAATTACATTAAATATTAAGTGAATACTTAAGAGAAGTTTTTAGGCTTTTCTATCTTAGGAATCAAGAGATAATAAGACTTTTATTTAGATCTCCAACCATTGGTATATGTTATGATTATGAAACTATTAACTTAGTGAACTCAATAGTGTCTAATGTATATATGCACTCATTAAGAATTTGCAATTTTGTTCTCTCATATATGTTCATTTTGATATAAATAGCAATAAGAATTGAAAAAAAGAGTCAATCTCACGTATAAAGTGTTGTGCATTATATCGTTAGTAAATATAGATGACTTGTAAGCAAAATAAACATTTCTTTTGACTTTCTAATTTTTCTTGACCGGCCTTTAGAATATGAAAAGGAGAGAACTTGAACTTCAAAAAGAACAGTACTGGGTTGAAATTAAAGCTCAGCTGCAGGGTACTTGTTTATCATCCATGAGATTCTAGGTTCAATTCCTAACACTACCAAAAGAAATGAATATGGTCATTGTATTAAAAAATAGAACATTTTAAATTTTAGAAAGGGTTTATCAGTATAAAATGCCTTATATTTTTAAATTTTGTATGTGTGTGTGTGTGTGTGTGTGTGTGTGTGTGTGTGTTTAGGATATTTTGCTAATATTTCCAAGGAATGCTGAGGTAGACTACAATCCTGTTAGGCACAACATGAAATCAAGAGAGGATACGTTCCTTAATTTTCTTCTTTCAGTAAAGTGAAGATAAAGTTCTTTCATGATAACTAATGCTTTGTGTTTATGACAATTTATGTCATCACATTAATTGACTGTTTTTATAGTTGACCTTTAAAATATTTTGCATTTAGAATGACTGGCTATTTCACCTGCTCCCAATGGGTTATGCAGAGTAAGCACTCAGAAAGAACTGGAATGGATGTGCTATATTAGAATGATGAAAAGGTCAATGTTTTAGTTGTTTTGATATTTTCTACAGAATATAATTCTCCCATATTTTAATGGGTGATAAAACCTTTAGAGTGACTAATACAAAGTACCAAATAATAATGAGGATGATCATTATTTCTAAACTAAGAACAAACCACTTTTTGACAAAAGAGCAATAACAACATACAAAGAGCATAATGTAAAGTAATGACAGAGAATTTTTAATAGTGAATTAATGGCAGAAAATGGCTTCTAGCATATAATACCTATCAGAAAAAGTATTGGTATATGGTAGATTCATATAGAGTTTGAGGGAAGCATTTTTGATTTGAAGCAATTCTTTAAAAATTCTTTGAGATGAAATAACACTGTAATTGATTTTAGTGTTTTGGCAAACTTCACCTGACAGTAGGACTGATCGCCTCATTAGCTTATTAAACAGATAAGTTAGTGTCTATTGTGTACATATAGGCCATTATAATCACTAATTGAAACATAGAAAGTTTAAAATGACATGATAGTGATATTCCTGAGAAGTAAAAATGAGGAGAGGAATGAAGTGATAGATGGCTTCATGCAGAAGATCATTAACAGAATTAAACAGAACATCCTGTGGCATAACTCAGATACCACTGCACTGAAGTTCTCCTTATTCTTTCATCCAAAATATTGTTTAAAATGTCCTTCCCTACACCACAATACTGATGAAATCCAAAACAAACACATGCAACAATGTTCTCAACTTGACAGAGTCATGACAAAAGTGGCATTTCAAGTGAATGAAGTAAAAGGTTGTTTTAAATATAGTTATATTTAATGAAAGTA